CTCTTTCATCCTCCCTGAACCACTCCCTTCTCTGGAGATACCCTTGTGTCTAATAGTAATGGTGAAAAATTGTAAATTTGCAATTGCAAAATTGCAATTTAGACCCACGCTGTTATTACTTCGTGTGAAATAATGGCCTCAATCACTATTATTTACTCTCCTCTACGACAGATGGCAGCAGTGTATGTGTGTGTGTGTGTGTTGTGTGTGTGTGTGTATTGTACAAGCAACACTGTTTCAAGACTTGCGAAAATGCATCATCTGTTATGTTTTGATAAATGAAACAAGTCAAGTTATAATTTTGAATTTTTCTGATAAACAGGTATTCAGGAGAAATATACTGTTGCTTTGTCCATTTTGTCGTGTAGTACCCACCACAGGTATCGAAATCCGGTTTTTAGCGTTATAAGCCCTCAGGTTTACCGCTACGCCACCAGTGTTAGTAAACATGTTATTATGTAGATTATGTGTAAAAAAAAAGAAAAAAAAAGACCGATATTAAATATATTTTAAATTATGCTTCTTTTTGTCAACAATATTTTAAATATCAGAGCTGACAAAGGTGTCACTTTTGGAATTTATTTTGCCAACTTTAGTTCATAGTTAGTATCGGGAAGTTATTATTTTTTTAACTTGTCAATTAACAGTTAATTCCAAAACATATTTGTAATTTTGCCTGGAAATTCTATTTTCACGTTTTTTTCAAAACTTAAAACGACCTATGAACAACTTAAGCTCGAAAAGAGCACCAGTATCCAAACAGTTTCTTTGTAGTTAAGTACAAAGCTACACAATGGGTTATCTGTGCTCTGCCCACCACGGGTATCGAAACCCGGTTTCTAGCGTTGTAAATCCGCAGGCATACCGCTGTGCCACTGGGGGGCGTATCCAAACAGATAAGGCAAAACGTACTACGTACTGCCACATATCCTCTCCAATGGCTCAGCGGTAAGCTTCAGGGCTTATGATACTACAAATCGGAGTTCGATCCCCGCAGTGAACACAGCGTAGATAGCCTATTGTGCAGTTCTACATTAAAATGAACAAAATTACCGAAGACTGTTTGCAGATTTCCACACTGTCAATTTTATGAACATATTCTTAAGAAAACAAACTTTTGATTGCGATCAATCATTACGTGGTTGACTCTTCATAAGCCAAAGGTAAACGGAGATAATTCAATAAAAAAGGGAAAGACAACAAAGAAGGTTTTTAACCGACTTTCTCTGAGTTGTCTTTAGTTAGGGTATCACGAAACAGATGAGGAGTTGAACGCGCGGTTTGTATCTGAAGATGTGTTAATTAGAAATTTTTGTGCGTGTTACGTTAACGTACTTCATGATAATAGAAAGTTTCGAGTATTTTGATGGACTGCATCTCTAGACATCGTTTGATTCCGGTTTCCTTCTAATAAGATATTTATCACACTGAACAAACCTGTATTAAGAGACAAAGATACAAAAGTGGTAAACGTATTTGTCTTGAAAATACACGCGTGAGTTGTCATTGCTTATTGTTAACTGCTATATTATTACTAGTGGTTTATTTTCTCCTTAAATTTTAATCGTTTAATAGAAACTGACTTTGTTTTGAATCAAATTGGAACAGTAGATTTTTGTAATCTAGCAGGAGGAGGGAAATGAGATACAAGTTTCGTAGATTTCAAAGATGTGGAAGGAAAAAATGATAGATTTATTATCAATTATCTAAATTTAACATGATTAATACTTCGGAAAATATACGGCCAAGCCGTGAAAGAAATACGGTCAAGGTTTTTTTTACTCGGAGTTGTGAGAAAAAATGTAAATCGCTTGTTGTAAAATCGGAATGAGTTAAAACCGTGTGGTTCTTACAGTGTTGAAAATAACTGTAGGCGATCAGTGTAGAAAAACGTTAATTTATAAATATTTATGGTTTGTTAATAGACTCTAAGATCACACGTGCTATATATTGTGCGATTGAATGTGTTATATATTTATGCTTTATTAAAATAAATAGTACATTGATTGTCAAATCAAAGTCGTTGTCTGAAGTACCTAAATTTTAGAAGATATGTCTACCTGGAAATAATTTTTATCCCAACTCACAAATGTAAAGATAAAATAGTCTGGAAGAAGCATGCTGCGTATACAAGATAAATAAAAAAATTGGGGATTTAGAAACCTGTAAATATGGATCGTAAAAAAATTAAGCAAACAAGGCTAGAGATACTGTAGACATTATTTACTCAAACTAAAAACCCCTATTTTCGCTCCATGCTGCTACCTAGAATTACATTTAGTGGAGTTAAAACAGGGATTTGTAGTTTGAGTAAATAACGTCTACAGTATCTCCAGCCTTGTTTGCTTACTTTTCCTACGATGTATATTTGCAGGTTTTTAAAGTCCCAATTTTTTATTTATCTTGTTTATTGACTTTTTTATGCTCAACTATGGGCAAAGGATTACTTAGTATGGTAACTAACCTTATACATTGTAATGATAATAAACATAGCTAGTATCTAGTTGATATGGTTCGTGATGATTTACTGTAACTATTGACTATTTGATCGCATTAGTTCGAGATGTAAAATGTTAAGCTGCAGCTGGAGATTATCATGGATATTTGTTTGAGAATATAGTGAGCATTTATAGTTTCTGTGTAACTAAGTTCTCTATATATAATGAATAGCAATGGGCAAATATATACCTAGACTAAGACACAACCTCTACTAAGTATGTATAAAATTTTACTAGTAGAAAAGCAGCCTTTTCAAATAAAACATATACGTCTAGAAAATCACTT